TTTTTTTTTTTTTTGGGGGGGGGGGGGGCACCAATGCTGGCAAAGAAACTGAATATTCAGAATTGCAAAATGCAACTACATATTCAAGCTCACTACAAAGATGAATTATTTTAATTTAGTAAAAAAATAAGGGTGGTCAAAGACTGGAACAGGATAGCTAGAGAAGCCGTCATCTCCATTCCTAGGAACTTTCTGGTGCAGGTTAGGTGGAGACTTAACTGGGATGACTTGGAGACGATCATGCCTTCAGCAGCAGGCTGAACCTAGATGAACTTGTGAGGTCTCTTCCAGCTCTACTTTCTTAAGATGTTAATTGCCAGTGTGTTTTAAGTGCTGAGAGAGCTGTATAATGTGATGCTTTTAAATTGCTTGAGAGAGGTAGTATTAAGAGTTGGGGTTCTTTTATTTTTGACAAGTTCATTCTATGTTTGTTTATTTCAAACTTTTAAGTAAAAAATGTTCCATTTGTGATGCTCTCCAGTCTTACAACCAAGTGCAAGATGCTGTTTCTCTTGTGCAGAATTGTCTATTGTGTTTAACTTGGGAGGGGAGGTGTAAAGAAGGCTGAAGGACGCCCATTTTTGCCCTTAGTGTCAGCATTTGGCCCAGCAGTTAAATTAATACAGCTAATATGCAACATGCAATATAAGTATCTGTCTCCTGTAGCTGAACTGACTCTGCAGTGATAAAAACAGTAAGAAGGATCTTGGTAACATAAACAGATGAATCTATAAAGAGCGTAAATATCTTTTTTTTTTTTTAACTATTGACCTGAATAAAATGTATTTTTTAAGTCTAATTTGGCTTGCAGTAAATCTAGCGTTTGTAGACCGAATGGGGAACTCTGTCTCAAAAATTAAACTAGTTGTCTCTTACTTTACATTGGTCTAGCAATTGAACAATACTTCAGTAGCTTGTTTTAATAAGCAGAGCATCACACTTTTTTTTTTTTTTAAACAATATTTTAGGCATAATGGAGACTTTAGAGGTGCTAAGCCTGTTCCTATTTGGTGAGAGACATTTCAAGTAGCAGGTCTATACAACTATGTACACACTTCAGTCTTATGAATGCTTAGCTTGGGGTCTGGAAAAGAAGAACGGGTTAGCACAAGTTGGGAGGAGTTTGTATGTATGTGGCTGTCCCAAATCCTGTGGCAAGCAAATGCTAGGCTCACCACTGATGTGCAGGAGAAGAGTTAGAAGACTTCTCTAATACATACTTGTTGGGAATAGTACTTATGGGCTGTTACAGCAGGTAGGGATTGTCATAGTATAAACATCCTGGCCAGGTCCACTTACTCTTATTGGTAAATAAGAGGGTATTCTTGCTGAGGAACTAGCAGGTAGCTTGGCACTCTACACTATATAAGGCTGTTTGTTGCAAAAAGGGAATTCTAATGGTCTTGGCAGAAACTGATATTAGTAGAAATAACAGTGCTTGTTTTTAAGCATTTATTTCTATTTTTTTTTAAATTTTCAGGTTTGTGCAAAACTAGAAGTGTTGGGAGCAGACAACTTAGTATTAAAACTAAATGTCCATAAATCAAAAAACATCCCTTTATGTAGCAGTCCTCACTGACAAAGCAGTATCTCCTGGAATTCAGAACCACAGAACTCTGCAGAACTTCGGTGTGCACGCAGCAGCTGCTGCAGGAGCTGGAGGCTATCCTGGGAGGGAAGGTTGGAGGGACAGAGCTAGTAGCAGCAGGAAGCCCAGTGCTGCTGGCCACTTGCTCTGCCTAGGTCCCAGCTGGTATGGGGGCCAAACACTCACAAAGCCTAGCATCTGCAGGACTCTTGCTCCTGCCCTGATTATGGAGGGGCTAGATGAGGCTTCACAGAAGCTTGGCCTCTGCTCTGATCATGTTGGGGCCTGGCTGGCTCTGCAGGAGTTTGGCTTCCACCCCAATCACAGAGGGGTCAAAGTCATGCAGAGCCCAGCCCCTGCACCCATCATGGAGGGGCTAGGCTGTATAGGAATTTGGTCCCTGCTCTGGCTGGGATTTGGGTAGAATGAGTGGCCAATGCCCTGGACTCCTTGCTGCTACCTGCCCTCCCCCACTCTCCCAGTGCAGCCTTACCAGCATATAGCCCCCAGCTCCTGCACGAACTTCCTTGCGTCTGTCCTAGATTTCAAGTCTTTATGTAAATTTTTTTTTTTATTATTACAGACAGAAACACTTTTTCCATCTGAGTGTCAGGTGAAATTGATTTTTAAAATTGAATCCTGTCAAGCCTAAAATGGATCTGAGCCATTTTGTGCCAGTAGAAGAATATAAAATGTTCGTCTGGGGAACTGCATGTTGCCCGTGGAGAGCATCATTCTGCTCAGACCAGCAATCTTGTGCTCCTGGTTCCATCACCTAAGATCATGTGCAGTAGTAGTAGTATTAAAATCTGCTAGTTCTGTGCTATTTTAGTGTTTGCATTTACATTTAAGTGCAAGCAATCTGAGAGTCTTAACACTAAGGGCACTTCTAACTCAGATGCAATAAACATCTTTTTCTTTCTTCCTTCTGTTTGCAGTAAGAAGAAATCTTAGGATGTCCAAACATGTGCAACGATATAGAGACCAAGATACAAATCCATGTATAGTGGTAAGGTGGTTCAGTTGCCATACTGCCTGGATATGTATATGTAGAAAAGTGAAAGCTACCCATATATTTGATCCTGGGAGCAGAACTTGTATTACAATTTACTTCTAGGAGAAGTGTATCAGAAATAGCTGAAAGTTGCTCTGAAAACTGTAAATTCAGGAACGAATTGCCATTCAGGAAGGGAAAGTAACATAGTGGTAGTCTGTTTTGAAATGGTTGTAGTCAAAATTGGGAGGGGGGGGGAGAGTTGAATCCCAGTAGGATGTATTCCTGTATATCTTAAAGCAGGGTTTAAATGGGGTCTGTCTTTAGAAAGAATTGCAAAAAAAAACAAAAACAAAAAACCATGTCTGCACAGTGAAGTCATGGCTTAGGACTCCTTTCTCTTAGGGAAAGCAGAGGTTTACCCTGAATGTCCTTGCTTAAGTAGAGCATTCAGTTGGCCATCTATCTTTTTATTTTGTATTTATAAGTACTTTAGGGACTCCTTAGAAAGGGTGGTGGGGGGGAAACAGTAAAAAGTATAACAGATTTATTTCCATCAGCTCTTAAGTGTGACATGTCTCCCATATTAAAGGAAATAGATGCCTCTAGAAAATGCATGGATGACAATAACTACAAAAAGGATATGTGTACCAATGACTTCATAAAATACAGAAACTGCAGAAAATTTTGGGTAAGTAGGGTCAAGTAGAATCAACTCCGTTTGTAAGTGTAATATTTTTACTTTAACAGATGTATTCTCGTATTGTTGATATAATAAATCATGTACAATTTATATAAAATTACTATGTACAGTGTATGTAAGTAATTAACAATCTAGTATTACATGCTATACGATACATTACTATACACAGTGGTAATGATGTAATGTCCTAATTAGTATAACAATATTTTGTTACGATTTTTTACATTTATAACTTAGGGTCAGCCTTGTAACCCAAGCTGAACATAGTTCAGCCTGCTTAAACTACATACAATTCCAGTAGTTATTTACTAACATGTATTGACATTTTTAGTGTTTCCACTTTAATGCAGTTTTACCAAGTACTTTATGGTTAAGTGTTTCGCACTTGTGTAGGTGTGAAAAATGATTAGCATAACTTTTTAGGTGGTAAAGTAATAAGATATGCATATATTTAATTAAAGCAGTACAAGATTTATATCCAAGTGGGTAGAGTTAAACCCCTTGTAGGTTGCATCCACACATGCAGGCACAGGTGTTTAGAGCAGCAGCACAAATTTTGTGCCTCAGTACATGTGCCTGATCATGCACTTTTGATTTGGGACAAATTGTGCCATTTAAGGTAAACAGACCCTGCCAAGCTTCTCCCAGAAGCCTTGCTCCCCCTGGCTGAAGGCTGGGTCTAGCACCTGTGCTGTCCCCAGCACTATACAAAGCTGCTGTTGCAAGTAGCTCAGGGCTACTTGCCTTCAGGAGCTTCTGAGGCCCAGCCAGTTGGTATCTGGGGGCACTAGCCCCTTGTTTCAGCAGTCCAGCTGGCACAGTCCTAACCTTGAGTGATCCTTGCACCTTCTATGCACTGTGGCAGTGGAGGCTGCTGCTGCCTGCAACAGCATCTGCCCCCTTGGTTCTGCAGTCTCATGGCTGCATGACTGCTGGACTCGGATGGGGACTGCACAGCTGTCTGGGCTGTAGTATGGGCACTATAGCAGAGCCATCTGCACACTTGGGCCAGTGGGCAATGGCTGCACAGTTGGCCTTTGTGCAGCACTGCTGTGCTGGCAGAGCAGGGGCACCAGAAGACATCTAGGCAGCTGTTGCCCAGAAGATGTCCTCATTGTGGTGGCCCACTTTGAACCATTGAAGCTTGTCCTTCTAGCCCTTAATGGCCTGGAGGTCAACCACCTCATTTACATTCCATCTGGTTCCCTGGTGTTGGCTCTGGGCAGGCTCCGCTACCTGGGTCCTACCACTTGCCTCACCAGCAGGGATCCTGGTGTTCTGTTTAAAAATTGCAACTTCACTAATTTGTTTTTTAAAAAAAACAAAACAACCCCCCCC